GTGAGCAGGTGGGCAGAGTGCACACATCAGGGCCTGGAGCTCGATCATCCTACACCCAGGTGGTGTGAGCAGGAGGGCAGAGCGCACACATCAGGCCCTGGAGTGGGATCATTCTTAAGTGATGGAGGAACCACAGGTCCGGCACTCTTGGGACTGCTTTAAGGGAGACCAGTTCATTTAAGCCCACAGCAGTCCGCCATCTGCAGGTTTATTGCTTGCACGCACCTCGCGCCAGGACACAGGGCCACCTGGCTTCCCACTGCTGGGCTGTCCTTTGGAATCTCTGTCTCTCTAGTGTAGACCTCTTCTTCTTTTGAAACATTTATATATACATATAGTATATTTATTATAAGTGGAATAGTACAGAAATTACAAATGTATGTAAAATAATTTTGCATAACTATTTTGCCTCCACACCTAATGTATCTTAAACTCTCCAATTTTTGCGTTGTGAGCAACCTCATTTTTCTGTGTTGATACTGATTTGTTTTATACACTTATAAATATTCACAAGTCCATATGCGTGCCGAGATTGAAAGTGGAGCCCTAAATAAACTAGTAGGCATACCCGCACACACGTAACCTGCTTGCTTCAGTACCAGCGTGATGTGCACAGAACGGAAGACTCTGATGCAATTAACCACTTCCATTGCTATGTACTCAGGTATCGTACAATAAAAATCACTGGTTTTATAATTCTGTGGCACTAGATGACCACTTATTCTTAAAATACACACTTTTTTAAAAAACTGTATATTTTTTATTTTTAAAAAATTATTTATTGGGGTCACAGAGATAGCTCAATGGAATAAGTGCTTGCCTGGCAAGCACAAGGTCCTGAGTTTGATCCCTTGTAGCACACACACACACACACACACACACACACACACACACAGACACACACACACACACACAAATTATTTATTTTTTACAGGGTCTTACTACGCAGCTCAGACTCATAGTGATCCTCCTGTTTCAGCCTCCCCAGCACTGGGATTGAAGGCATGTGCCACCACGCCAGGTCTCAGGGGCCAGCACGGTGCACCCAGGGTAGGGCCAGCTTGGCAAGAGGTATCAGGGACAAACTCAGCTTCTTGTGCTTGCCAAACAGGCACTTAGACCATGAAGATATCTCTCTGACCTACACACTTATTTTGATTGATTCTCTAATAGCAAAATTACACATTGGATGGCTAAGAGAATTTTCTGATAGGATAACAACATGGAGAATTTTCTTGTGTAAGAGGGTGAGTGGAGAAGGGATTGAGGTGAGGGCCGGTTGCGCAGACTACATCCGTGTGCTACCATAAGGCGATCCCAGATAGCTCGTTGCATTTATCTAGCTAATAACAATATACATGTATGTATATATCACTGTAATTTGAAGCTTAAATGGAGATAGGTAGTTCTTGAAATGACAGGCCTTAGCTCCTAATAGGAATTTTCATCAAGTTGCAATATAGTTCAACATTTTATACATTATGGATTGTAAAGTTTGATACATTCAATCCATCAGAGTTACTGAAGACCTTTGTTAATCCAAAACAGCGTTCCAACTGTAAGAGTTGTGCTAATCCTCTGCCAGGTAAAGTCAGAGGCAGCTGATGCTCTTGGGTAATGCAGCAGCCCAAAGACCTAGCGTAGAATCGAGCCACGCACTTCCTGACTCACTTCTCCGGCGCGTGGCTTCCGTCTTCGTGGTCACAGAGGGCTGCCCCAGTCCCAGATTTGTGCTCTTTGTCATGGAAGAAGGAGGTGTAACCTCAGCGAAGACAATGTGGGCGACAATGAATCCATCTTTTTCAAAACTGCTTTCCCAGAAGAACCGACCGTGACTCCTGCTCAGCCCGCAGAACCAAGAGCTGCCGCTGTCTGCCGAGGGCTCCGGCCGGCTCTTGTCTCGCTCCGGCGGAGGCGGGCGACCCCGATCTCGCTCCGGCGGAGGCGGGCGACCCCGATCTCGCTCCGGCGGGGGAAGCCCAGCCCGGGCGTGCGCGCTCGGCCGCCGCCGCGACGCCTTCAGGCCTTCTGCGGTCCAATAGCTATTTAAATATCGGGTAAAGATTCTGCATGCATTATGTGCTACACCACCGTATTTTCAAGCAACCAAACCGCTCTTTTTCCTAGATTGCCTAATGTGAAAAGTGTGTGCGGAAGAGCCGCGACGCGGAGCGCGCGCATTTCCAGGGCGCGGGCTGGCACGGGGCGCTGTCCTCGCCGGACCCCGCCTTCAGGTTTTCGTCTTATGATCCCCTCGCCTGTCAGGGCCCGGCACCTGGGCTCCAAGCAGCACGTTTGCTTTAAAATTCTTTCCAGAAAAACAAAGTGTCTTACTAAGCTCACCAACCAGCTCTCCACAGCAGACACCTTTTCTCTTCACACAACGTTGTCTTCCACCCTCGCACAGCGGGAAGACAACGGTTCTAAATTTAAAGCAGCAGCAAAAAAGAAAAACAAAAAATCCTAAACTACTTCTTCTTTACTGAGTGTATACACCCTGAGAACTTGTGGACACTTGAGAAACTGTTTGGATAATTCAGAAAAATAAAATGATTTACTTGACAGTCAAAATAAAAGGACTGTCTGGGCCCGAATGAGCTGAACATGATAAATGTGAGAACATGGGAATGCGTTATCACAGAACCTAGTGCACCTCACCTGGATCTCCTTTTTTCTCTTAGAATAAGACCTACAGGCCTGAACTTGGGCCTGTTCTGAAGAGCAAGCCTTCTGGACCATCTATGCAATTTCATAACTTCCTAATTTGCTAATTGATTTTTAAAACTTTTTTGTACTATGAAAACTTTAAGATAAAAGAAAAACAGTGATAGAAACCAGTGTGACAGTTCCTCAAAAAGCTAAATCTAAAGTTTCCATTTGACCAACCTATTCCCCTTTTTGGTATCCGTCTAAAAGAACTAAAAAGCATCGTACCTCTGTGACATATACACACAGCCACCATGTTCACGGCAGCACAGTTTGTAATAGCTAAATCTTGGAAACAGCCCAAATGCCTATTAAAGGATGAATGGATAAAAAGTTGTGGTTTTTAATATAATGGAGCACTAGTCAGCCAGAAAGAAGGATAAGACCGGCATTCATAAGTAGATGGACGGACCTTGAAACCACACTCTTAAGTACAATAAATTGGACACATACGTTTAAATACCGAATTGTTTCTCTGGTGCGAGAACCTCAAATTATAAACAAGGAGAAATGTGTGTGATAGGTACTGCGAAATGGGAATGGTGTGTTCAGCTGGGAGAAGGGAACAAGGAAGGGGGTTCATGCGAGGAAGAAAGGGAAAAGAAAGGGGAAAAAAGAACAGAAAAATGTAAAGAAGCTTTTGTAAATGAGGGGAAGAGGCGTTGGGGGGAGAGGATTGGAAAGAAGAATTAAGATATATAATGTAGAGGCGCAAATTCCTCATGAGAAATGTGATCATTATGTATATCTAAAATACCCCGATAAAATTAAGTAACAGACAGCTAACAGAGAAAGAGCGAGGCGAGCCTGACGCCATCTCCCTCAGCTGCAGCTCTCGCCGCGGCCGCCCCTCCCACGCCTGCCCTGACCTGCATATCCTTGTTGTTTGTGTGTTGTAGCTTTTTAAAGCTTTGCATCAAAATCTTCTTTAATTTTTTTTATTTTTTAAACAGAAAGAAAGAATAGTTAAAAAAAAAGAAACAAGACAGAATTTCACTAAACAAAATAACAGCAATTCAACAATGGTTGCTACATGGCGTTGATATTGTTGTCTCCAAATTAGTTTGTTCACATTCCAAGACATAAGCATGCACAATGGTCACAAGCATTATAAAAGATGAAAAAGGAGGGACAAAATAAATTGAAGTATTAACTGCTCCTTTGCATCTTATTTGTAAATATCTGAGTATCTCTCAAATTAATCAATCCTGTTTAATAACAGGTTCACATTACCATTCGGAGATTTGGATATCAAATATTAATTGTGCAATATTCAGACATATCTCACCTTTCCAAACTTCCAGTTGTCTTCCATTTGTGTTTCATCTATTTTTCTTTCTTCAAGCTCCATCAAGGCTCACGCACAGAGACTGATTGACAGTTTCATAACTGGGGTGTGGTCCTTCGCTTTCTCTCTCTCTCTCTCTCTCTCTCTCTCTCTCTCTCTCTCTCTCTCTCTCTCTCTCCTCCAAATAAAGGGCCAGGGTGATTTTTCCGGAGTCCCCTGAATCACAGTTGTACTGACTGGACTCTGCATGTTATGTTCATGTTCTTTCGTCTCTAGTTCTATTGCATGACCTGTTATTTAATTCCTGCAATTAGAAGCACAGTGAAGTCTGATTTCTGGACAGTTTATTTATGCATGTGTTGTGTTCAAATTCCTTTGTAGATTTATGTCTATGAAGTATAGATTGAGATAAATGTTTTCCAAAGGTGCATTATTTATTTTTATTTTCTATCAGGACTTTTCCATGATATTAACATGAATCAACACACCTTTGTCTCATTAAGCACACTGATGATTTTGCTTCTTCAAAGTGGCACGAGAAAACGGCGCCAGTTCAGTTTGCAAGTGGTGATGGCAGAGTGTGTCGATCCAGAATGTCTGGGCATCATCTTGGATAAAAGAAACACACATATTAGTGACAGCTAAGAATTTTCACATGTGCTATTTATTTAAGCTTGGAAGCTACATTATAAATGTGTGTCATTTTCCTTCACAAGAGTGACGATCACAGAGGTACACATCCGGTCTAAGGCCCACAGTGAAGGGACAGGGCTTGGCGCTCAGGCAGTCCAGCTCTTCAGTGTCTGTGTTTAAGGACTTTCATCTCCTAAAGACAAGGATGACACTACCCAGGAGCAAGCTTTAGAAAAGCATTCTTGTAATTCTTCTGTAGATTCCAAGCTATGTTCAAATTTATGACTCAGATTAAGCCAGATTAAATGCAAACAATCATCGTGGTACAGTATTTGTGTGTGCGTGCGTGCGTGTGTGTGTGTGTGTGTGTGCCTGCGTGCGTGTCAGTGTGTGTCTTGGTTACTTTTCTCTCATTGCTGGGACAACATACCCAACATCTAGAATTAAGGAAAAAAAAGGTTTATTTAACTCACAGTTAGGGGAGGTTCAGTCCATACTTGGCTGGCTCCAAGGTGGAGTGGCACACGGCAAAGGCAGCGGAACACAGTAAACACAAGAGCCACCGGGAGGAGCAGGCTGCAGCAGCTGGAGAGTCTCCATCCTCCTCAAGCTGGACTCGGGCTACCTGTCCCCGGGCAGCGCAGCTCTTACACCCACAGTTGCAGAAGCACGCAGCATCACACCATAACTGCAGCATTGGATCGTGAGTGAATCACAGACTCCAGAACCCTGCCCGTGACTGAATGAGGCTGTGGGGTGTAGCACAGAATTCACTGATTTAGACAGCTTTCTTATGGTAGGAATTGAGATTAACTTCCATAAACGACTTTGACCTTAGCAGTGGATAACATTTTTATCATTGCATTTCCACTGTACTCTAAGCATCAGCACCCTAGTACTATCCAAGAGAACATTTTCCATAACTAATCAGAAAGAGATATAAGAGATACAGAATTATAAGCGTGTGATTGACATGTGCATTCCTGAAGTGTCCTCAAGCCTCTGGATTACCAACATTAAGGTTTTCCTCTGTGGAGCAACACCCCATTCCTTGATGCTGACTCATCAGGCTTACCTGTGCTTTCTGCTTGCTCCTACCTAAATCAGTCTTCTCATAATTTAATTGAACAATAGACACTAAGCTTATATTCCTCTTGCTTTATTGTTACATTGGACTCATTATTTAATATTCATTTTCCATATTTTATGCTGCATTATGAAAGCAGAAACCCAGATTTAGCAGTGAATTCCAGGAGACTAAAATAAAATCTTGATCCAAAAAAGAAAAAATCATTGTATGAATAGGAATAAGATTTACCCCATTGTGCTATGTTGATGAGTCAACTTTTTACCTGGAACTTTGGAAGACTTCACACAAATGTTGAATTCTATAATATAAAACCAATGGTATATTCAGATATGATTTCTTTTTCTTTTTTCTGTACTTTTAGGACAGGGTTACAGGGTGTACAGTGTCTCACTACATAGATCAGACTTGTAGTGATTCTCCTATTTTCAGCCTCCCAAGTGCTGGGATTACAGGCGTGCACCACCTTACCCAGACTCAGTTGCTGTCCCAGCGTGCCCCATGGGCAGGGCCGGCACAGCACGCTGGGGATTGAATCCTGGCCACTGTGTTCTGCCCAAGCAGGTGCTTTAGTCTGCTGAGCTATCAAGCTGACCCTTCTGATACAATTTAATTAGCATAATATTCAGTGAAGCGTTCATGCCCTGATGCTTCATATGTATGGCTACAATGGTGTCAGTTAGTGAGGCGTGTGGTGGATTTTAGACTCTTTCCATTTTTCTTCTAGCAACAGCTATAACATTTTCATCTATTTTGTCTCATCTTTTCAACTCTCTTGGTCTTTTTGGATACTGATTCTATTACTCAGAATGCCCATTATCACTCTCAAGCTGTACCTTCCAAACACTGAGCAGGCATTCTGTATTTTAATTCCATTTCTTTACTAAAACACACTTAGTACTGCAGCAAAGCATTGACATCGGACATGGTGAGCCTTGCCACATGCAGGTTCCTTGCAGTCTGGAATAACCCTCACCCGTGGTGTCACTCGTCAGTGCCACCCCCATCCATCATGCTCTTTGTCTTCAAGGGTGGCTTGACTTTGCTAAATTTCATTTTCTAGAGATGACTTTCTTTCCAGCTTTAATATTATAAATCTTTACGAATAGCAACATGGCAGAAAAAGGCACTCCGTGTTCCTCTCTACCCCGCGTGCACACCAAGAGGTGCAGGTTGGGGGAACCTGCTTGGAGCATTTGCTTGCTGACAAGGACCAGCCTGGAAACAGCCATGGTCATGTGCCCGCGCACTCATGGTAACTTCGTGGCAGTAGCAGGAGAGACGACAGTATTGTTAACAGAACATAGTCTACAACTTCATAGCTAACAAGAAAAAGATACAAAAGTGCAGAATTTTTTATTTACATTTTTTAAAAATCTCTTTAATTTGGAGCCTAATCCAAGACAAATGGATTCTCATATTTGCTTTTGTGTCCACTCTTTTGCAGTACATTGCATGAGTAAATTTGGCTTCACACAGATTTGTAATTGAAAAAGGGAGAAATATTTTAGTAGCCTTTTCAGGTAAATACGGCTTTTCCTCCATAGTAGTATACCAAACTCAAAAACTGGAGGTTTCTTTTTTTTTCATAATTTTATTGATAAACAAATAGCAATGAGACAATTTCAAATCAAATCGCTAGGACAGTTTCAATAATTAGCACACTGCATACATTCTTCTTA